TTTCATAATTTCTTTTTTTTTCTATTTAGACGACTTAAGGCTATTCCCGATTTTCTTTTGAAAATATAAGAAAATATTTGCTCAAATTCACATCTTGGAAAAACTTGTCGGCTCCTTTTTTTAGCTTCGCTTAGATCTCAGATGAGCGATTCGCGTTCCATTCCAAAGATAAGCGCATGTTTTTGACGTTATAATTGAACTCTCAATCTCGTTTTAGTGACATTATCAATTTTAAATCATCTCAATTTGATATAATTTACTAATAAAATTCACGTAGAGCGTTATTGGCTAAGGAAATAAAAAAATTATCGTAATGATAGAAATTGCTTTTGCTAAATTGCTTTTCTATACGATTTCGATTTTCTAAAAATATACGATTCATACGAATATTTTTTTCACGATTTTATCACTACAATTATTATAAACAAGCAATTATATCTTTTATTAGAGAAATTATCAAATTTTTTTCTTTTTGATATTGAATAAAATCTAATTTTTTTGAACATCTCAAAACAAAACATATTTCTCTCGTATCAATTCTTCTTCTACATTATTGGTCTCACCACTACTGCTTAGGCTGGCTGCAGCGGCTTTAAGGGTAAGACGCTTCCGAGCGGCGCGGTCTGATGCCATCGTCGACAGTAATAGAAGCCATTCCTTTTTCCATCGTCTAAGTCCATATATTGCTGGTCTACCTATATTCAAAATCTTCAAAATCTTTTCTGACCATATAAGTCGGGGTTTTGATTGGCTCACCTTGTTTTTGACACCATCCATCATACACTCTAGCAAGTGACTGAAAAAAAAATTCTTTCGAGTTAATTCATTATATATTATTGAATAAATATTTGTGTATATATTTCTCCATACTGTAATTATTATTGGTCACGTTAGGTGTTGTTCATAAGTTATTTTAGATAATTTGCTATTTGCTATACTGATGGGTGTATGCGTTTGAAAAAAAAAAAACGGATGTAGCTTTAAACTACAAAATTGCCTTCTTAATGAGCTTCGTTCTTTAAAAAACCTCTTAAGCTATTTTCTTTTGATACTGTATCGAATTTCATTGGATCCTTAAATCTTGTGGTCTTCGCTCGTAGGCTGCCCTAATTCCTCAAATTAATTGATTTGAATTAATTGTTTCTTATCATTTTATCAAATCATTTTTTTGCCATAGCCTATAAATTGCGTTTTAAACTCTTTTATTTTAAGGCTAATTTGTAACCACCTATCTTTATTAGGTTCTTTCAACGCGCTACCAGATCTTTTTTTATGTTGGCTTGAAAGCAACAAAATAGATTCAAAAAAGTGTAAAATGAATATAGCGCCTTCTATGGAGGTTTCTATGGAGGTTTTTAACAGGTTCTTTTTTTTACCCGTCACGGTAGACCTTTTCATCAAACTTGCTATGTAAGCTGCCTATCTATTTTTCCAAAAAATTTAATCGTGTCCACTACAGTAGGCTAGAAAGGCGAATCACAAAGTATAAAACTGTAGTAGAGCCAAATAAAATTGATAGATGTCGAGGAAGAATGAAAATTATAATAAAATTGTTGAAGAGATGAATAATAAGCTGTTATTTCATTTTGGCGATTACAGCATCAAAGCTTAATTATGCAATTTGGTGGTTCAATCATGTTTACAACAAAATTTAGAGTTCTAAGGCCAATAGAATAAATAATAAAACATTATGAATAATTTATAATTCTTAAAAAAGATAAAAAAGAAAAAAGTTAAAAAAAAAATTTTATATCAAATTTCTTTCTTTTGGTAATTTCTTTCTTTTGGAAAAAAATGGCAATTTTTATGAAAAATGCGACACTGTTGCAAGATTATATTAAAAATATTTATATTTATGTTTTAAAAATAAATAAAGCATTTCAATAATATTTACCAATTTATTAAATTTATTAATTTTTGCAATTAGTAGTAATTCGTCATTGTTATATTGTTATTTAGGATTTTATGAATCTATAATATAATAAATATCTTGAAATTCGATAAAATTTAGTACCAATGGCCTATTAAAAAGAAAAATGATCACTAAAATTTCAAGCATCTTTTTATCTCTAATTGATGGTCTCTAATTAATAAAATGTGGTTCTTTGAATCGTCGTTTTTATTCTTTTTCAATTCTTTTTTTAGCTTTTAAAAAGTTGGTAGTATAGTGGATCCATCCACTAGTGCTTCTACATCTAATTATCTCTGTGGGTGTCATAGTAACTTGTAGAGTTAGCAAAGTAAAACCATCGAATAGCCGAATTTGAATAATAGCCAAACCAGGCTAATAGCGAATTAAGCCAGAAAAAGGAAAAAGATAAAATTTTATTTAAAATTTGATTTAGAAGGTTGTTTACAATGTATGTACATATATATTTATAAAGGGTGCTTTTCCTTATATTACTTATTTCATGCAAAATTTGACGTTTGTCTTTAGAATTAAAAGTTTAATTGGAAATGATGAAGTTTATTCCACATCCATATCATGAATATTTATATGAATCGCTTTATTTCTTTTGATTCTTTAAATTTTCCTAGAATTTTAATTTCTATTAAATCATTGTACTTCGTAAGGCTTAGCCGCCTTTTCTTTTATATTCGAATATTTTAGTGCTAATTAAAAACGAAGCCAATTTTCTTTTTGCTGAAAGCCTCAGATTTAAATTTTTGTTATTTATTCTTTTTTTTAGGAATTGGCTTTCTTTTGATAATCCTTGATGAGCATCCATTCCGTTTTTTTTCTAATAAACATAAAATCACTTTCAGTTTTATAAAATATAAAATATTTTATAAAATAAAATAAATATAAATAAGAAATAAAAAAATAAATAAGAAATTTAATTTACTCAAAAGGCAAAAAGTTATTGTATTCAATTAGCCAAATAATTTAGATTTAACTTTAGAACTGATTTAGAAGTTCAAATTTTTGATTTTCTTATTTTAAATTTTCTACAGCTATAAAAATAAATCGTGTTTTTGAAAAGTGTTCTAAACAGATACGAAATTTTATAATATGAATGTTAGATTTTAAAAATGTTTAATCCTTTCGATAAAAAGAGAAATTTTCGAAATAATACGATTGAAATCTTTTTCGTTTTTTATTAAACTTGTCAATTTATCATTTGAAATCCCTTTTTTTTCAAAAATTTTTCAATTCTAAACAACTATGAAATTATAAAAATGCGGAATTAAATGGCATACAAACTTTTAACAGTTAAATAGCGCAAAATGCATTATCATTTAAAATTTTCGAAAGAATATTTCAAAAAGTTTCTGGAAAAGGAAATAAAACCCGAAAGGATCTTATTTTTCAAACATGGTTTTTACAAAAATATATTCATAAGCATTTAAATAAGCGTTTTGGATATTTTATGTAAATGATTTTTAAATATTTTCAAAAAACCAATAAACAATTTTTTTCTTTTTTCTTGCCTTGAAAAAATTTTTTTATTAAAATCGGTCCTTGTAAAATACTGCGGAAAATAAGGATCTAATATTTACAAAAAATATATGATAAATATTATCACACCTATCAAACATTAAATAAATTCACTGATCATTTTATGAAAGAGAATAGTTTTAATCATAGTCTCAGCGATAATATTATCAATTCCTTATTAACGTCACTGATTTGGTTTATTTGATAAAAGAAATACGTGTGATATAAATAGAACTTCCATGAGACTTCTTGAAAAATTTAAATTGTATTTCTTATTTGCTGTCTTATTTGCTGTAAAATGCCAACAATAGTATTCTAATGTTCGAAAATAAATTTTTTTTTTAGTGTGAATAAAATCAAAATGTTCATGATATTTGTCGATTTTGCTTCAGTGGTGCAAAGATTAATGGTGAGTAAATTTTGTAAAAAAAATTTTGTTGAACTGCTATCAGCTTGGTCGTTGAATAGGAAAAAAAAATTTGGAAATTTGGGAAAAACTACCTTATCTATTATCACTTTTCTATTATATTTTATTATCTTTTTTATATTCTAGTATCACTTTTCCGCAATTTTTTCTAAGAATTTAAGAATTTTAAAATTCAATTTAATTAAATTCTAATTAATAATATATAAAATTATAATTATATATTATTATTATATTATCTAAAATTATATATTATATATTATTATTTTCTTAGAGAAAAAAAGTATTTTTTTTGAATTTTTTCTTTTTTAATTAATATTTTACGAGGGCTACGAATGAAATTTATACTTGCTTTTAGCGATTTTCTTAAAGGCCATATTGTTGCGAGATTTATGGCAGATTTAGGTTTTCACAAATTCTTGGAATTTTTATCAAGTTTCTCATTAATTCTCATAAATTCTTCATGATAGATCGAAATGCACATGAAATTTGCTTTGCTCACTACTTTATTTTTTATTGCAGATTACACAAGCAGCACAACGTATTAAGCGTTCAACAGTGCTTTTGAAATTATCCTAAATTTCCAGAAAAATATTCTTGAAAAATAATATTTTGAGTTCCATTAGAAGATGGCACAAAAAGAAGTCTAATAATGTAGTGGTTAAGATGGGCAATTAATATGGGATCTAACAATGTACTCGAATCGTAGCCAATCTTACCTTTCCGATGAGGATGATTGAGTGAAACCATCTGGGCTTATCTACTTAACTTCAGTCTCCCAGTCCTCTGGTAGAGGGTCATATAAATTCTTCTTTTTCTTCTAATAGCTCCGCTCTCACCATTACTGGTTAGGCTGGTTCCGCTGGCTAGAAGAGTAAGACATCTCCAAGCTCCCCGGTCCGACGCCATCGCTAATAATAATAGAAGACATTAAAAAAAAGAGGGTCACAAAAATTATTGAACTTGATTAATGAACGAAATTTCTAAAATTATAAATAAATAACTAATAGTAATATATTTTTATTTCATTAAAATTATGCAATGTTATGAAAATAAAAAATTCCCTCGAATGAAAAATCTCATGAATTATTACAAGCAATTTAGATTTAGATCATCCGTATCTTATGGTAAAATGTAATGGAGAGTACACAACCGCTCTCAGTCCATATTTCCGAAGAAAGATATAAACCAACAGCATCAAATGATAATGATTACGGTATTGGATATCCTGAAAATAATTATGGTTATAGTTCAGCGCAAATTAGTTATATTATCGAAAGTGCAATTTATGCACTTGCTATGATTCTTGGCTTCGGTGCATGTGTCTATACAGCGAGAAGGTAAAATTTATATGCAAATACAAAAAAATTAGCAAAAAAATTAGTGGAAAAATTATGATAATGAGTCTCTGGTTGCTCTATCAATGATAATGCATGAACCAAGAACAATAGGTTGTTCTGGCTCACTGGTTGTTGGGATGTGAGCTTTTCCACTACGGATTCATATAAGCCTTTAAAGCAACCTGAACTATAAATTTATCAGCGTAATTACTATCAGCGTAATTTTAATTTGCACTAATTGTGATGATTAAGATTTCATTCAAAATGCCGGAGGCATGTCGTCTTAGCTGCGAGATTGATGAGATTTAAAATCAGCCTTACGGTAGCTGATTTAATTGTCCTATTCGTTTATGCACCAACACAAATAATTTGGATCGGCACATACAATGTAAGAAATTTTTAGAATTTTTTTTATAAATATTTTATGAACAATAAAGTAAAATTTGTGGAAATTATTTTAAATTAACGATCGACATTGAATGAAAAAACAATGATTCAACTTTGATTCCCTTAATATTTATCTGCCCTATCCCAATGTAGAGTACCAAATTGGCTCAGATATCACTCGACGGATTAACAAAGTCCATCTCAAAGACCGGGAGCTGACCGAGAACTGAGAGCTGAGGGACCAGGTCTATAATTTTTTCTTTCGTTTTACGAATTTTTTTGCTAAATTTTTCTCTTTTCTAGTGGTATGGTGGTGATATATTGTGTCGAACAACAAAATTTATTAATACATTTTCTCTTCATTTAACGGCAAATATGCAAGTATTAATAGCGGCTGATAGATTATATATCACTGCACATTTGCGTACTGTTCATCAGGTAGATTTTTGGCCGAAAATTTGTTTTTTGACGGTTTTTTGATAGAAATATTTGGCTTAGAAAATCGTTATTTGTAAATTGCTAAAAATTAAAACTATTCACTAAAATTGAATTAGAATTTTAGGAAATTAATCATTTTAACGCCAAAAATAATAAATTTTTCGAAGATCTTTTTGAGCGATTTATAGTAGTTTTTTTTCTTTTTACTTTCCCTCACTTTCACTGGTTAGACTCGCTTCACTGGCTTATCGCACCAGATAAATATATCAGACAGTCCCTTGGAGATAGAAATAGAATTGAATTGCCAGTATTACCACGATATTTAGACAGGTTTGCTCCTGTGGGCAAAAACTTCAACCCAGTAAGCCATTCTACTCTCCTACATATAACGTATGATATAAGTATAATATTCATTAAAAAACATTAGAAATGAAGGTGGCCAAGTAGTACTCATTTTCTTCAATGTAGCGATACTAACCCGGCCCTGTGACGTTGGAACTTTTTTTTTTTTTAATAGACCATTACTGGTTAAACTTGCTCCGATGGCTTATCGCATTGGACAAATATGCTAGAGAGTCCCTTATGATAGAAGTGCATGTGAGTCGCCATCATCATCCGGAATTCAACAAGTCTACTCCTATGAGGAACAGAACCTCAGCATTGGCTCTCCGAGTTAAGCAATCCACTGAACCATTTAATGCACCTCTGTTCGTTTTTGTTCGTTAAGTAATATGGCGACGGAGTGGTGCGTTAGTGGATTCGAACCCAAACCTCGATTCTCGGTAGCAGTTATCTTGGCAATGATTTAGTAATATAGTAATAACATAGTAATATAGTAATAATATAGTAATAACTCCAATATTTAATTTGAATTCGTAATTCAGAAATCTCGTTTCGCTGCAAGTCGTATAATTGCCTTAGCCTGGTTATTGGCGTTTACTTGTGCTTTCCCACAACTTTTAGTATTCCATGTTTATTTTTTACCTAATGGCAAGCCACAATGCGTTTCTATATGGTAATTTTTTTCAGTTTTAGTCGTTCTAGAAATTTAATTTTTATTTTATAAATAAATATTTTTATTTTATAAATAAATAAAATATAAATTGAATACAATATAAATGTAAAAAATTCATGAATGAAAATTAAAATTTCATTGAATTAATGTTTGAAAAAAAAAGAGAATTTCAATGTTATAATTTAATTGTGATTCCATTTTCATGTGATTTTTGGTTATTGCAAAAGGGAACCATAGGAATACGAAATGTGACAAGTTTTTTTTTTTCAGGACTGTTATAAGATTTCAAGAATTACTGAATCAGGAATCAGCTGAGATGTATAACGAATCTAATGGTGGAATCAATTTAACGAAAATATATAATTCACAAGATATGATAATCACTCATGAATTTGTTTCGGAATATAGTGAAAAACTTAAATTCCTAGAACATGGTTCATTTTTTTATTATTGAATTTAAAGTTCCACCTTTGCAACCAGTGGAGCTAGCTTAACCCATTAATGGTATGAGCTGCTAGAAGATGATATCTTAGAAAAAACAAAAAAAATAAAAAGATCGATTCAGATCACTCAATGATTAAATGATTAATAGAATTTTCATAAATAAGTTTTCGCAAAGCACTTATTTTTAAAGAAAATATCATTTTTTCTTATCAAAATAAAAAACTTCTAACTGATAAGAAAAATTTAAATCTTTCGATTTAATTTTCAATCTTTCATTTCGTTGCTCTCTCTTTTTTTTTCATTGAACCGATTTATTTTAACAAAACTAGAAAAATAAAGAATAAATCGTTTAAAATCAATTTATTTTCAGCGTATAATGTACTTCATTTATTTTCGATTTATATTTTACCATATTGGATAGAATTATTTTGCTATGCAGCGATACTCATCTTAATGAAACGTTTTCATGCAGATATTCATAAAAAACCAAAAAAAATTAGCAAATGGTTCATTCTTTTATATAAAAAATAAAATAATATAAAAAATATTAATATAAAAAAATATAACATAATAATATAATGATATAAACAAATAATATAAAAAAATAAAATAAAATAATGCATTTCGTTTAGCCAGAGAAATTTTTATTATTTATCTACATTATAACAATTATTCTTAAACTATTTTTACCAATAATTTAATCAATTTTTATTAATCATTTGAATTATTTTTGATTAATTTAAAAATTATTAGTGATTAAATTTTAAAATTTATACTTATTTCATCATAGTAAATGATTGTGATTAAAATTAAAATATTAATATATATATATATAATAAAAAATTAAAATATTAGCTCATAAATTTGTTTTTTATCGTTTTTTTATTTGATTCTTTTAAAAAATCGCTAACATAAATTATTATATATATATATATATATTTAATTTAATAAAGATTTCGATTTAAAATTGACATTTCCAATTCTCCTGGATTCTAATTAAAATCATCTTCCTAAATCACTTCTCAATTATCTTTTAGAGAGAAAAAATTGAGATGGTCTGATTAAATGGTGAATTAATGGTGAATTAACATTTCTCATTTAAAAGATAAAATCTCGTTAAAATACAAAGAAATTTTTCCAAAATATCAATAAAAAGTTGTAATTTATAGTCATTTCAATGTCTCATAAATTCGATCATTTTTGTTAAATTCGATTAAACTATTCCAATTTTAAATTCTATTTTTTTAATAAATCATCAAACGGTGAAATTAAAAAATATGATAAAAATGAGCAAACATATAGATACTTAAAAAAAGTATTTTAAATGTTTAAAATGAAATTCTAATTAGAATTGTTTAAGGAAAATAAATCGATTTTTCTGGAATTCACCTTCACGTCCATCATCTAATGTTCCTTTGAATAACTATAAAAGTTTTAAAGGAAGGAAAGCGAGGAGTAGAGGTTGGCTTTTTTTTGATTCCATGCGCAAATGCAGTATCAGTTCAAAATAACTACAGTACCATATATTTGGTTAAAATCTCTTCTTCTAGCCATTCATGGTTCCATTGGCTTTTCCAATATAAGGTAGCGGATTTCAGTAACCTACAAGATTCTGATATTAAGCGACGAATCATTTAGCCATTAATTTTGGGATTTAAATTTGATGCCAAATTTAAAATTTACTTGAGGCGTAAAAAAAAGAGTGAGCATAGTATGATTTGAATGGATTCGAAAAGGGAACCTCAAAACCTACTTTTTCATTTCGTAAACCTACTTTTCTTTTCAATTAGCTGTATTTTATCCCTCATAAAACGGTGGTCGCAAAATATTTCTTCCTACGCCCTAGGCAATCCATAAAAATTTATGAATACGCAGTGCAATATAATTTAAAATATTTTTTAAAATTTTCGATGCATATTCATTTCTAAAAGAATGTAATAATCTGCATAAAATAATAATCAAATATTTTGAAAATATTTTGCCTCTATCCAAATAAAACATTAATTCGAATTAGGCACCTAAGCACCATTTGAGAATCACCATGGATTCTAACCAACCTTCCTTAAAGTCAGTTTGGTAAGTTAGTTTATTTGATCTACTATAGAGCTTTTTAATTTAATATATATATTTTATCTTTAATCATTTCTCAATTTTAGGTTTATTTTTTTCAGATACGATTACGGTACTTTGCCCATCAGAAATCAATTTAATGCAAAAAACTGCATCTGAAATCTTCGAAAGGCATAGATATCAATCCGCGCCATGTGTCAGCAATAATATAAATGATTTTAATAGTGATGTACGAGGATCGAAGGTTGCATGGAGAAATACTGTGGCGTTGGCGAGACGAAAAACCCGTCGAAAAGTAGTTTTGTAGTTCATTTCTTAGAAATAATTAATTTTTAAGCAAATCAATTTCGCATCATTTCAGCTCCACTAAGTTTCATTGCTTGCTAGAGTCGCCAGAGATTACTTGTAAATAAGAGTTGGGTCCTCAGGATCACCTGAACTTCACTTCTCTAATTAAGGAAAACGAGTCGAATCTATGACGATTTGATTTTAGTAAAAGCTTTTTCCCTTTTTTTTCATATATTTCAATTAAACCAAATTTTTCCGTGTTGAAACCATCGGTTCATTGTTATATAACTATAACTATAATTGTCATTCTCTGATAAAAATTTCTCATCGTAGCCAATGATCGCCAGATTTTATATTTATTATTAGATTTGATATTTACTCAATTATTATTTTTTATATTTTATTTGGTCTTATCATAGCCAAGAATACAGCCGAGTTAGAAATGATGCGCGGTAATCAGCTTATCATCTAAAATCATGAAAGCCATAGTATTCGATCGTGATAAATAAAGATGCTTGCAGGCATTTTTGATGTTGACATTGAATATGATTTTTTGGACACCATATTGTGCGATGGGCCTTCTTAGTACAGTAATGGTTTTCGATCATTCAGGTTATGATTTTGTCAATGCTCTTGTTGTATTAAATGCTGTATCAAATTTATTACTGTGATACTTTCTTTATATTTTATGGATTTCTGCTTTGCTTTTTTTCTTTTTGAGAGCACTCATCATTGGTGATTAGATTCGCTCCTCTTGTACTAGCCAGAGAGTTTTCTCTAGCGACAGAAAAACAGGTGAACCGCAAGTATCACCCGAAATTTCTCAGATTATATTGATGGTTGTTTCTTTTTATAAGAACAAAGGATATCGTAAAAACTCGAATACTGCCAATTAATAATTCATTTTGCAAAATCTTCGGAATAAATTTCTAATATAAATATTGTATTAGAACATAGAAAAGAAATATTTCAACAAGGATTTGAAAAAAATTTGTATGAAAAACAATTCAATTTTTTTTCGATCTGATTATATTAGTTAATTATATGAGTATTAGTATTTATTAGTATTTAGCTAGAAATGTTAAAAATTCTTTGATTTTTTTTTGTTTCAATAAATTGTAAAATTTTCACCACTTCTGGTTTTTTTTTCGTTGAAAATAATTAATTCCATTTTAATTGAGAATTTCTAAATGCAAAATTTTAAAATCCATTTCATCGTCTTAAAATAAATTCGATTATTTATTATTCGTTTTAAATTTATATTGAAATAAGAATAAAAAATTTTTTTTATTCACTATTATCCATTTCTAAGAAAAAAACTGATTAAAAGATTTTTTTAGTTGAATGAAATAGAAATGAAAGAAGATTGATAAATTATCTCTTCTAATAAATGCCACATTAATTGAGGATTCGTTGATTTATTCGAAGAGAGATTTACGAATTGATAAAATTGAAAATTGATTTGAAAATTTTGAAAATATTTATTTATTTCATAAATATTTTCGACATAAATTTAATTTAATTTATAGTTATAAAATTTAAATATTTCCATTTCGAATATTTTCATCATTTATTCTTTTTTAAATATATTTCAAAAGAGAACGAACAAATTACTTGGGAAAAGCTAAATTGTCCACTTTTCTTGTTTTAATGTTGCGATAATATTTCCTTAAAAGTAACAAATATTAAACTTTTAAAATATGCGATTCTTGCATTGCAAAAATTTATTTAGCCTTATTTTTTTTAATATTTGAAAATCTTATAAATTCGAAATTTTACTTGCAAAACCAAATATATAAATAATGAAGCAATCATAGCAATCGAAATAATTTTATTAATATAGGTTTAAATTATCAAACGATCTTTGTTTCGAAATTATTTAGAAATTTGAAAAATGGATTCCGATTGGAGATTAAGAAATATATTGAGATCGAACTTGCCTTACTCATTAAACTTCAGCAGTAATAGGAGATGGCAAATTCACATCAAGAGAAGTTTGATATTTTATCTCTTTTATTGATAAGGTAGGCGTATTTGATGGAGTTGAATCCATAGAATCACAAACAGCCATATTATCGAAAAAAGTATGTTTTCTGCTAAACAAATAACAAACAAAAATCGAAATTACAGCTAGCGCTTGTGAAGACGCACTGCTTAAATGGAAATTTTGACGGAATAATTTATTATCATAAACCACACAATTTCCATAATCATCGGGACAACGACTATGCCAAAGCATGCAAGTTGAATCGAGAATATAACCAAAAATTATTGGAGCCGGTATGAATCCTGAATTAAAAGAGAACGAATCAACAATCAACTGCGAATTACTATCCAAAAAAATATTTTCAACGAATTGAATAAGCAAAGCTTGAATAATTAAAAGGTTATGGAATCAGTAAATCCGAAATCAGCATTTTCCAGTCATATAGTCTAGAATACTAGGAAAAAACCAAATGATTTACGATTATTTCAAATAAAAGATCCTATCACTTAATCATTACAATTTTGAATTTGAAAAAAAAATGACTAATAAAATTTATTTAAGGCAAAGGTAAATTTGGCTGGGTCTAGTGGTCTAGTGGTTATTAGCAGGAGAATTCCTCGCCGCCTAGGTTAAAAGATGAATTCCCAGCACCATAGTAATTCTTTTTAATGACATATTCACTCCTCAATAGATAGAAACTTATAATAACTTAGCCGAAGTCGAAGCTATAACACTTGACTACCTATTTTCAAAATCCACGTTATAATTTATAAAATTTATAATTTACCAAAGTTAAAAACTTAGCATATATTATATCATATAACTTATCACAGTTCGACTTACCCAACAGATTCGTAAAGCAAGATGCAATACTCAAAGCCATTACTTTTTGATAATCAAATACAGATCTGAAAAAAAAAAAATTTCCCATTCATTAACTGCATCTATGGGTATCGTTGAGATATTTTATTTTCTTTGGACATGTACTTTAATTTTATTTCTCTTTTTATTTTTATTTATTTTTATTAATTTTTAAATAAATTTAAATATTAATGAAATTCTTCAACAATTAAGTATGGCTTTTTATCATTTTTTTCCAGAATAAATGAGCATGTAACTCATTTAAAAAAAAAAAAACGTGAAATAGTAATTTTGACGAAATAGTAATAGTAATTGAAATAGTAAATTTCAATAAATATATAGTAAACATGAAGTAATGAACCTCAAAATGATCATTATTGTCGTCATGAAAAATAAATTTCCAAAAAACATGCCAATAAAGACTACTATAATATATATAAAAATCTGTTCACATTTTTCGAGATATAATCCATTCTCAACAGCTTCATCAAATGCGCAACTACACTGATCCCACTAAATTTAAGATTATTCTATTCTTTTTGTTAAAATAAAGCAAATGAAAAAAAAATGAGAAAAAACATAAAAATAAAATTATGAAGCAAATTTCAAAAATTATTTTTACTCAATTATAATATTATTTTTACTCAAAAATAATTTTTTCAAACAATTCCTCATTTTGTAAAAAAAAAAGTGAACTCACTCTTTTTAAATCATCATTAAAGATTCGACAACCGGCGTGACAAGGTGAGAAGAAATTAAGATTGCCGTAATGGACAGGATTGAAATGATGAACATTATAGCAATGACATTCGAAATTGCATTCTGATATATCGCGAAATTCATATCTGAAAATTAGAAGCAATCATAAAATAAAATACATTCTTGGATAGATTTGATCTTCTTGAAGACAGAATTGAAGATCTTCGAATTGAACCCCTGAAAATATGAGATTCAAACGAACAAGTAAGCCTTTTCTTTGGTTCATACTCTTTTTTTAATAACATCTATTTCAGGTTCGGTTTATTACAATGACTAAGATATCCCATTTGTGAATTGAGATAGGTAGGATATGTGAGTCATCCGGATTAAAGTGCTAAAAAATAAAGAGCGGAAGTGAAGCTTATGATAATTGCCTGAAGCTAATATACAACCAGGATGGTAAAACATTATCTGATAAGATTTCGATAAAAAATTTCAATGAGATACATGGATTCATAAAGAAATATTATTATGTAAATGAAAATACATTCGTCGTGTTTATATTTATAAAAATATATTAAAATATTTTTAAAATATAGAATAAAAATATTTTCAAAATATAAAATATAAAATATTTCAAAATATAAAATAAAATAATATTTTTAAAATATGAAATAAAAAAATGTTTAAAGCCAATAAATATAAAAAATCTAGAAAAATCTATGGAATCGAATCAGAATTCTGCTAGCGTTTCTAATTTTAGCAAAAATTACTGGTTCAGTGCTAGTTGGGATAATTATAACATGCAGTATGGTTGAAAATTTTGGCCAAGGAGTCATCTAGAAGCATCACCAGGGTTTTTTAAATGTTTGCTACTGCCGGGGATAGCAGCCGAACTCTTGCTTTTCAGTACGATGACCTAAACCATTATCCAATCTTCTATTCTGCCTCTCTTCAATTAATTAATAAATAAAATGAAAAGAATCAAATAAAAAAATTGAACGTAAATGGTACCGAAGCCCCAAAAAAGATCAACCGAAGGTTTTGAAAAATGAGAGGCAATAATAATTAATTAATAATTATTGCATTAATTTCTCTTAATTAACAGCGAAAAGATGTAGTAAATATCGATGTGAACGACAAAAACTTGAATGTCGACATGAATTTATGGCATAGCGACATTCACGAATGAAGCAATTATATATTCCATTCAGTAAATGCAACCAAAAGAATACTCGATATCCATTAATAATTAAACTTAAAAATACTTGGTAACACTTGCAACAAGTGTACCAAAGTAATTTTTCAGTAAAACAAGAAAACAGAAAAAACATGAATTATCAGTGGTTACAAAAATTAGAATTATTCCTACACTGTAGCGGAATGCTACTCCAGAAATATGGCACGCTTAAAAGAAAGTCTTATGGCCTAGGTCCTTAAGTCCAGTACGAAACATTATTAAAATGTTTAATTCTGTCCTTGATAAAACCTTCGGATTTTTTGATCGAAGAATAAAACTTGTTCTTCGGTATATTTTCCCCAAAATACAAATAATTAATATGTGAATTTTCAGGAAATAATCAACCTTCTATTGGCCAAAACCAAATCTTTTAACTCAGGTTCATTACATCCAATAGTCATTCCAAACAGATATGTTGCAAAAATAATAGACCAACTTGCCAAAAGGCATAAAATTGCTTTAGATGCTTTCAAATCGAATTTCGTTAATAAATAGCCACCTAGGGCTGTACTAGCTGCAATACTACCAATGGATATTAGGCCTGAAAAAAAAATTATATAAAAATAAATAAGTAATTTATACGAAATTAATAAAAATTCAGGAGGAAAAATTATTTGCAAAAAAAAACACCAAGTGGAGAAAATCGCCTCTGCGCAAAATTTAAATAATTAAAATTAAAATTAATTTTAGGAAGCAATATTTTGCCTACAACCATCTATACGACATTCTATTAGTTTTCAAGTATTTTAGCGGCGAAATTCGGCTCAGGAGAACCCAAAAATTACCGTGCGATTATTAGTGGATAATATAAAACGCGTAAAATAAATATTTTGAGATTGTCAAAAAAGGGATCCTTAGATTCCGTTTTGAGAATTATTATTATTCCAACTGGAAATTTTGAGATAAAATAAAAAATTACTGTATTAAGCAGTATAGTGGCTGAAAAAAGCCTAGCATCTGGGAATAGCAAAGAAATTAGAGGATCTGATTATACTGTGAATTTTTTAGTAAATTACGTAACTCATAATTGCATTATTTGACTCATTTCTAATGAATCATTATCATGAATTATTAACCAACTTAAGACTAATTGTTCTATGCCTGCTGGATATGAGGATCAGTTTTCTAAAGATTATATAGTTTAAAGGAGGAGTTCGTTAAAGATTTTTAAATATATGACTTATTTGTATATCTTCTTAGTATAGATAATATGTTCTTTTATTTTGCCTTGGACTACTTGAAGTTTTGCTGGCATAAAGAAAGATAATTTCAAAACAATCCAGCTTACGTATTATTTTTTCCATATTCTTGAAATACTTTTGGAGTTTTTATATGTACTTTAGATAACCTTTCTATTTATTTATCCTTGTCATTTCTAAGGCAAAAGCATTTCATAGGTAAATTTGTTGATGAGCAATCTATTTGTGTATTATGGGCCTATTATGGCCCGAATTTGTAGCATTTCAAATCCTTCTAGGTCTCAATCCAGCCTCGACCATAACACCTTGGCATATCGCTGCCGCTAATTTTAAGCAGCATGGATTTATCTGTCGCTGGCATAAATAAATTTGTTATCAAAAATTAAAAATGAAATCAGGGAGTGCTGAAGAAACATTTGACCTTTCAGCGAAGTGATATTAAACGATTTCCAAACCAGAAATATATATAATGTGAAGGAAATCAACCTGCATACATATCGGCTGCGGATGAACTTTGTGCAAATTGCGTTTCAATATATTTTGGAAGATATGTAGTATAGCCGCCTGTCAAATAAGATCCAAACATCCAACCAATAACCATCGATAAAAAAACTGGATTTCTCAATAATTCAATAGTCATACTACAAAAATCTATAAATAATTATAATGTATTTATATTTAAGATCGATAAGAATTTAATTTTTTCAAATAATATCAATATGAAAAAAATTTTATTTAAATAAATTTTTTACGCAAATAGAATTGCAATAAATTTTGTGGTCGAATGAAATCAGTTTTTTCGGAATTTCGATCAATTTCACGAAGATTTTCGTTTTCATGAGCGTCTTGGTCATCGAATTCTTTACTCCTGAACTATAAAAATAAAAAAATAATTATATTTGAGTAAAATTTTGATGGAAAGTATGACTGCTTAAAGTTTGGTTAAGATTTTGGTTAAGATGAATTTCAAATGCGAATAATTAGCTTACCTTAGATGATTGAGTTCTATAGGATCTGTTTTTCCATATAAATTATCGAATGATTTAGGGAAAAAAAAGATAGGAATAGCACCAAACAAATATAAAACACCACAAACGAGAAAACCCAACCACCAAGCACCAATCCATTCATCATCATATATATTAAGATTCGCAGGTGCTAAAAAAAAAAATTCAATAACTACCAATTGCTGTATTAGAAATTTAGCGTTAACAAGGAAATTAAATCAGTTTTGCCGATCAAAAAACCACAAATAAAGATGATAGGCTAGTGAAAATTGGCTTAAAGACAAGAATTTGACCTACGACAGGAGTAGTAAATTGTTTTTATTGAAAAATAGTAGTAGCTCTGGTTTATTCATTTGGCCAAACGACGATTAGCAAAAATTTCTAACTATAATAACCTATGGAGATAAAAATAAACTTAATTAAGAATGGGGAGAAATTGCTATTTACATAAATAAATAAAGACCTTCAAAAACAGTAGCATACAGCCTCGTTACTCCAGCACTTAAAGCAAATCCAAAAGCAGGACCAAAAGCATACATGCTTGATAAGAGACCTAAAAATTAAGATTGAATGAAATATTTTCAAATATTTTCAATGGGGACTGTAAACTAGCTGCAAATACCTAATAAAAATCTTGTCTTGTCAGAAAATTAGATTTCTGCTGATCAACCTTTTAAAAATAAACTTATATAAAATTACATGAATTATTTTCTGAGATTATTTGAATGACTTTCGAATTTTTTTTAAAATTTTGAGATTTTTATTATTCTTTGTTCGTATAAAGTGTTTTAACAAATTGTCCTCCACTTTCTTATAGCTCAGTAAATTAAATAATAAACTGTAAAAATACGGCAATTAAAAGAATTAAAAATCTAATTATCTATCTATAATCTAATATGATAATAAATAATTAAAATCTAACTAACCAAGATAAAATGGAGACATTGTTTTATCAAACAAATTATCATCAATATAAACATATGCCACAGTATTAAAGGGAGCTGCAGCAATTCCAGCCAGAAGTTGTCCAACAGCCAAGACTAAATACGCTTCCAAATGTTCTTTTTTTTCTTCTTCACATAGCTCGATTAAACCACTGAATGAACGACTTGGATCGCAGACATTATTGAGGATATAAACTTGCTGAAAAAAACTAGTGGTTTTTTTGAGGTATTGCCGACCCACTCAGATTAACATTTTTAACGATAATAACTTTTCTTCGCATATAATAAAAATGAACTAACCATTAAAGAAATATTAAGTGGTACTAAGGACTTACCTGCATTTCTAAGCGCCCTAGCAAAACTTTTACTTTTCCCATATTTAATAACCACAGGTATTAGTTTAACAAAATTTCTTTTTATGATCCCTTATTATCAAATTAATAATTTAATTTCATATAAAAATACCAATACGCCTAAAGCTCATTTTTATTAATGAATAAAATAATTATTGTTTTAAGATTTCTTTAAGGAAAGAATAAAAAAAATTTGAGTAAAGAACCTTATCTTGTATAAGCGATTTTTGATCATTCGCAACAGGTCCAAATATGAATGCAGGTAGAATTAATAAAAACATCGATAAAGCACTGAATAAAACACCTGAAATTATCATACCTGACTATCAGGATAGTACCACTTCTCAAGAAAATCACTTGAAGAATATATATGCATATATATGCCAATTTTCCACCTATATCTGTTTCATTTCTAATAAAATTGAATTCAGGATAAATTTTAAAAAAATTAAAATAAAATTAGAACAAAATAAAAAAAGATTTTTAAAAAATTTCGAAATAATTTTGAGAAGTTTATCTTACCAAATGCTGTAATTCTTGCCTGATTTTTACTCATTGCCATAAAGCCAATTATCATAACTGCAAGTGTATGACCAATATCATAAATTGATAGCAATAAGCCCGATTTCTTACTGGGTATACTGAATCGCTTTTCCAGATTCGTAAGTATTCCAACTGTATATCCCAAATAAGTGCCCTATAAAATTAATAATTTTCATCTAAAATAAAAATAATAATAAATAAAATATAAAGTAAATAAAAATAAATAATAAAAAAATAAAAAAAAAGATTAAAATAAAAATTTTCCGAATATACTTCCAAAAGCATACAACATTACCGGTTAGACCCGCTCAGCTAGCTAGCTTGTCGCACTGAACAAATATGCCAGAGAGTCCCTTGGTGATAGAAGAACAAGTGAGTCGCCGGCATCACCCGGATTTTTCCACTAGTTTACTAGTTTTCGACTAGAGGAGTAGAAGAAGCTCGGCATTGGCGCTCCGAATTGAGCAACAACCCACTGAGCCATTCTGCTCTCTTTTCTTTTTGTTTTTCTCCGACGGAGAGTGGTGGCCTCGAACTCAAACCTCGACTGAGGAGCCATCTTTTCTCCTTATTACGGGTATTATTGACAATCAGTTATGCGATGTCGATTTTTGTTATAACTTCTCTTCGGAATAAATCTACCATTAAAAGTGGAATATTTGCAATGTGCCGTCTAAAATTAGCCCAGCCAAGCCAAGCCAAGCCGGATGTGGCAAAATATGGCATATGGCATAGAAGAAAATTTCTTCTTCTAAGAATTCTCACCATAACTGATCGGTCTGGCTTGGCTGAGGCTGCAAGCGGCGATTTTTCCTTCAAGCCGTTCGATCCGAAAGGGAATTCACTTGGCCAAATTTATCAAATTCATTAAAATAGCAAAATTAATATTTATTCATGAAAATTTACCTGTATTGCTATAATGAAAAGCATAAGAAAAAGAAAATTTTTAATAGAAAGCCATTTTGAACTAATTTTTTCTTTTTTTTTCGAGAAATTTTCCATTTATGCAAATTTATTTATTTTTTCGTTCGAAAATCTAAAATAAATTTATTTTAAAAAAATTAAAATTAATTTAAAAAATAAAAAATATCGAAAAAACCAAATTAATTCGATTATTTATTAGCGATTTAAAATTTAAAATTTAAATTATTAATTAATATTATTTTTAAATTATTGAAGATTATAATAAAAATTAATTATAAAAATTATTATTTTAAAAATATTAAAAATTTAAAGAATTATTATAAAAATAAATTCCAATTTGTCAACATTCAATATTTTCCGCTACAATCGAAAATAACTCTCATTTCTATCGAAAAAAACCCCCTAAAAGCGAAACCGGAAAGGAACATTAATAGGCACCAAAGTAGGTCATTGAAAAGAAATACACCGAGTCACCGATGAGAAATAGGATCCAAGAATTTGAACCAAAAAATTATCGATTGATATTCTTGGACGTTTCGACTCAAAATTATCGCTGATTCATCGACTCATTCACTATCTCTTTGTAAACAGGTTAGTATTATACGTCATAGAATAAGTTCTGTTATGATTCGAATCATTCTTTCTCGATTATTTCGAATTAGGTAGGTTAGTTCCACGATTCATAAACCAGGACGAAAACTTTTTGCACTTATTAATCGTCTTGTGGATCAGAAATAAATAATTCGTCGACCTTCAACGCCAATTGAATTTTTCTTTTAGTGATAAATTTACTGATAATCAACAAAAATTATTTTGTTTATTTTATTATTAAGCTTTTTTTTAAAATATAAAATATAATTTTACGAAAACAATGAATAGTTTCAAATGATCAAATTTCGGATTGCATGCGAAGAATTTCACCCCTTTATGATTAAAGTGACAAGCAAGTAAGTGATTACTTAGGTGAGGGGGGGGGGGGGGGGGGGGGGGGGGGGGGGAATAGTTCAGTGAGTTTTTGCTCAATTCGGAGCGCCGATGTTGCAGTTCCACTCCCGCAAGAGTAAAAACCTGTCCAAAAATCCGAGTGCTGCTAGCGACCCATTCGTACTTTCAAGAGATTCGTACTTGGCACATTTGTCTGGCACGAAGCTAGTGAAGCGAGTCCAACACAGTAAAGCGAGGTGTTTTAAAAAGAGTGCCATATGGTTAGAAGAGATTGCATAGGTGATCGAGTGAGAGATGAGTGATTAGGCGAAGGAGAAGCGAGTGGCTTCAATTAGTTTCAGACTTGGCATCGGGCTCGGAAGATCTGTGAACCGATTGACATTGGTTTCATCTTTTCATGAATATCTTAAAAATCATAATATAATTATTAAAAATATTTATTTTTTTGTTTTTTATTTTTTAAAATTTTTTTTTATATTTATTGTAGTATAATTTTTATTGCCATCAATATTGTTAAAATTTTTATTAATATTTTTCTGAATTTCTTTATTTATTATTATTATTTATTATTATTATTAGCGAAAATTTTTGTCAACGATTTAAATAAATATATTTACAAATAAATGTTCTATAAATATTTTGGATTGTAAAAAATCAAATTATCGAAATTGCTCGTAAAAATCTTTTAAGTATTTTTGGAAGCATATTTATAATTTTCAGCAAATTAATGGCTCAGTGGGTTGTTGCTCAGTTTAGAACGCTGGCGATGAGGTTTTATTCCTCACAGGAATATTCCTGTGGAAAAATTCGGATGTTGCTGGCGAACTCACTTCTACTTCTATTACCAAGGGACTCCTTGAACACATTTTTCCAGTGCGATAAACCAGACGAGACGAGTTTAACCATCAATGGTGAGAGATCTTAAAAATATATATTTCAGTAAATTATTAAATTATCAGTAGGAACGTTCTCTTATCACTAATTTGTAAAATACCGATTTTTTAATCATTATTATTACTATGTTATTTTAACTGTTGTCATTAATACAAACACATGGCGTTTGCCGCCCTGTTTGGCTTGTTTTCAGCAAATAAACACCAATTTCATAATCGAATCCACTTCGCAAACTTTCGTCCCTCCCTTCCTTTTCCTTTCCCTTCCTCCTTCCTCATTCTTCATCCTCCTCTCCAAAAAATTCGATAATAACAAATGAAACATACCGACATACCGACTGATTTCGATACTTTAATAAATATTTTTAAAATGTTTTTATTTTTCTTTAAATTAATTTTTTATTCATCAAATAAATATTCATAAAATATAATTTTTAGTTTATACAAAAGGAATTATAAACAAATTGAGGAGATTGAGGATAATCGCAATATTTAGTAAAAATTATTAAAATTATTCTTTTATTTTACATTTTTGAAATGCAAATATTTTGATTAAAATCACATCGAGAATTCGGTAATGACGAACAGTCGTCGTTCGTTTCGCAACTAATTTCGTAATTATAGAATTGGTTTGGATCATTTCTGGAATGATAAATCTATCAAATAAAGTTGACATATTTATTTGTTTTTTCTTTTTTTCATATGGAAATTATATTAATTAATTTCCTTGAAAATATTTCATTAAGAAATGCCTTACATCGGCCAGTAATGGCAAACCATATCGACTGTCATTTGAAGATTCTCATTAACACAACTGGCAAATCCACATCCGAGCTCTGTTGCTGTGAATAATCCTATCTAAACCGTCTTTGTGATTTATTATTCTATTATGAGAAGTTTAGCGAAAAAATTTTGCAAAGTTGTAGTGTTAATTTAATTGTGATCATAATAATTTTTGCTAGAAACTAAAGCACAAACAATTACATTTCCAAGTGTCATTTCAGCAGGATTGCGCCACCACTCCTCGACTGCCATAGAAAATTCGCGATCTAAAGCGCAAAATAAATTTTCACAAATAATCCCCCCTTCTTTCTAAATAACTGTTTTTGATTTTATTCAACATAAATTAATGCTAACCTAAAAAATAATAAAAAAATAAATAACAAAGATAACTTCAACTTTTGATTGGATTTTATGGGAAATTGGCCTAAAATATCGACGGAAATATAGAAATTACCAAACTAATATTATTTAATTTAATATTTAATTTATTTAGCGACAATTGCAAAATAGACTCTCAACAAAACGTATAAAGTGAATTGGACAAATTTTTTATATAATAATTAGTTATTTGATCAAACCAAAAGAACAACTGATAAAACTGATAAGAAAAAGTTCCAAAAAATTCGATAAAATTTTTAAGAAATTCTTGACATCTATTCACTACTTATACTGCCATCAAAAATTAAAATTTTATACCCAAAATATGTGTAATATTCTCGAAATTAAATTCATTCATAATCATCCTGTAATATTTGGCGGATGATTTTGGCTCTAAAAGCTCACATTTTTCTGCATCCTCAAAAGCTTTTTTTTCCAGATTAAAATCCCAGTCCTATAAATAAATACCCTTTTAAATAAATAAACAATCTGTTTAAATAATAATGCCTATAATAAAATTATTTGGTTATTAAGTTTGGCCAGCTTTTAGTAATTTTGAATTCTTTACTAATCATGAAAATTGTCAGTAAAAACGTTATTTATGAACTTAAGCCATTACGCTTGAACCAATAATGAACAGAAGTTTGAAATGAACCTAAATTATTACTGCTAACTTCTAGAAGATTATAGAAATGTTAGAAGGAAATTAAAAACACACCAATTTGAATAAAAATTCTTCGAGCTGTTTTAAAGAATCATCAAAGGTCATAATTCCCTGCAGAATATTGCTCCTACGTTTTCGATGCGCTTCCAGAAAACTTAAGCGATGAACATCAAGTTGCTTGAAGTACAAATGTTCGTCTGAAATATATATCACAATCCCAATATATGTTCTTCGCTAAGCAATGTGAATTTGGTTATTTTTTAAGCTTAAGAAATCCTCAAGGAATCGCCCAGAGATGGAAGGTGGGTCCTAAACACCACCCGAATTTTTCCCATAATAGAATAGAAATCTATCGCTGGCAAGAGTTGAACCATAATTACTCGATATGATTGTCTAAACAACTGGATTAAACCACCTTCAATATATGAAAAATAATCAGTGGTGAACTGAAAAGATACTGACTGTATTTTCTCCCCTCAAAACCCCTCAAAAACTTTTTATTATTTTATCAACCTGGTTCACTTATTATAAGCAAAGCAATATACCATTAATTTTGGTATTTCTATTCAATGATGCAATAGCGATTCCATCTTCTAAGTCAGCTTCTGATAAATCCATTATATCAGCAAGGTTTTCAGATATATCAAAATTTGCACCGATAGGAGTGGTTGATGTGTATTCTATAACTTTAAGGTCAAACCATTTCTTTCTTTTATTCTTAATATGGATTTGATTTAATTTTCAGGTTTGAAGGCTGTGGGTGAACAATTAAAAAATTTCGAGTCCAATAATGACTAAAATTTAATACAGATAAAGAGATAATTTAATAGCTTAATGAAGTCACCTGGTTCAGGAGATTCAGTAATATTTTCTTGCATTCGACGCAAAAATCTATTGAACTCAGCGTCATTATTGTCCATAGTGTCACATAACCGAGTTATCTCATTGCAAGTAGAATTGGTGTGAAGTGTACAGTCATCTCCGCTTTCGCAAAATGAGCCTTGCAAATACAAAGGACCTTTTGATACTCTAAAATTTTGTACAGATAACAATGAAAGAAATTCTAAATATACAGTTCTAAATTTAAAGTATATTGTGGAACTTAAATATATAAAAATTGAGAAGCAATTCCGAGACCCAAATAGTCTTCGAAAATTCCAAACATTGCTTAATTGTTTTCGTTTTAATCGTTTTAAACTTACTCGACCGAAACACTTAATTGCACCTATCACGATCTATTTTTATTATTGTACTGCATTTTATATTTTTATTCTTTTCCCCTTTGAGATGAGATTCGGAAGGCATTGAAAAAAATTATACTTGGGCCAGTATTTACAAACGATGATTTGAGTCGAATTCTCTTCATGCGCTCTCGAACATTTGCTCGTTGCACATCCTATCAGCCTCGTTGCACCGGAAAGCATCTGCAATACTAATTTTGATCTCTGCTGAAATAAAAAATCTAAATACAATTGTTGTACTATTAGAGATTAATGGGATTTGTTCACTCCACCTTTCAGAAAAATTTATGCTTTTTCAATTCAGTTCAAAAATTATAATTCAAAAGAATTGATATTTGCAATGCCCATAGATTATTCAATAGAGTAAACTACCGATAAAGCAATATCAAAATATTCTAAAATGATAGGGGATAGAATGGCTCAGTGGGTTGTTGCTCATTTGAGAGCGCCGATGCTGAGGCTCGATTTCCCACGGGAGTAAACTCGTATAAAAATCCGGGTTATGCTGGCGAGTCATGTGTATTTCTATCGCCAAGGGACTCCCTGCCATTTTGCCCAATGCGACAATCCAGTAGAGTGAGTTTAACAGTAATGGTGAGGATTCTTTAAAAAAAAAAGTTAATCATATGATTGTTCTTGCCAAAATTAAATTTTGATGATGCGAAAAGTAGGATGAAATTTAATCAAAGATGGCTATGTGCGAGAAATCAGAGCAAATATCGTCATCTTCCACATCATCTTCTGCTCGGAGTTATAGGTGCGTATTAACATAAAAGGCAAAGGCATTTCCTATCGTCATGGCACCATTTTACGGTTTTTCGCATGAATAAATATGATAATAATAAATAAATAATACTAATAAATAGTACTAATAATACTATTTTTGCAAAGATTATAAAAATTCAGTGCCTAAAGTAAGTCCGTATATTTTCAAAAACAACCTGTGCAATGTGAGGTGTAGCATTTTTTTCAGTTGACCAGCTTTTAAGTGCCGTAAACATGTGGTTTTCTGAAAAAAGCATGGCGTTCTCAAAATTGCCTTTTGATAAATTTTTCTGATAAATTCTGATAAAACTCTCCTAGAAACTCCTCTTAGTGCTTAGAAGTAAAAACGCAAGGCATAGCATAGGAAAAATTACTTGCATATATTTATTTCTAACTTAGTGGTTCATAGATCGTATATTATATGATAAATGATATACGAAGGAAATAGTAGAGGTAAAAAAAATTTGGCATGAGAGAGGAAAAAATTATAGGTTAAAGAGTATGGTTGAATATGGATTTAACGACTACCCAATGTATGAGAACTGTGCTGATTTTGGTAAATATTTTCGCCAACTTTGCCAGAAAGATAATAATTCGATACATTTGGATTAAAACAACTATCATCAGCTCGTTCTTGCGCTAATTTCTCCAGCTCGCAGCTGTATCTCTGCAATAGTTTCCATTTTAAAAAACTGCTGCATACCCTTCTTCCAGCGCTTGCAGTAAAGTTTAAGCTATATGAAAATACATACTAGCCTATACATATTCGTGCCAGGAGAAAAGTCATATTCGCCGCGGGTCATATTCGATCGTAGTTCATTGTGATAAAAGAGAATTCCAAATCGTATAAAATCATTCACCACTCCATTCGTACATTGGATTTGATCAGTATGATTTGCTACAAATTTAAAATTTAAGTTATGTTGTGTTGAATATTGAATATCTGTGTCGTAAATGCAATAATCATTAACCATGGTCAATAAATTAATACCAATATTCACCAAAAAAATTATTTGCTGCAGACGGTGCAAATTATCATTAGAAATCTGGACTATCCCCAGGACTCACCTGTGCTTTTACCTCAAAGCTTTAGAAGCATCCTAGTGGTCCAACGAAAATGACCAACGCTAACACTTATTTTCTTTACTTACTATCTCAATTCTGCTTAAAAGTTTATATTATTAATAATGTAGTAATATATTTTGGGATTACGGACAAATAAAAGAGCAGCGTAAGGACTTACAATAGATCGTAAAAAAAAGAAGACAAATTAGGAGAAAACGTCGCAGTCCACTTCTCAGCATCGCAAAATTGATTACTGGAATAGGTTTCGTTTTCCCGAGCTTAAATGCTGTCCTCCATGCAAAAGACGATTAATCTCTGATGTTTTATTCATCCGAATAGTCAGGCGGAATTAACTAACACATGGACCAATGTTCTATCGTATTATCATAAATGGGCTATCGTAATTTTTATCACATGATAAGCGAATTGATTTCCTACTGAATAAAGATTTATTTAAATTAAAATTTTTTACTAAATAATAAGAAAATAATTATGAAAAATTTTTTTTCAGCCACACATCTTTTTATTTAAATAGATTTAAATATATTCACCTTAATATATCTTAATTAAATATTTGTTTTTGTTTAAATATATTTTAAATATATATCATCAAATATATTATTAAATATTAAATATCTTATTAAATATCTTTACACTTTACTCATATTTTTTTACATTCTCATGGAATCTATAATTTATATACTTTAATAGGGTAAATATATTCGAATATATTGATTCCATGTTTTAGTAATATTCAACAGCTTTGTCTAAGCAAGTTAAAACTCATCTTTTCTGATTCGATTCGCTCCAGTGACTGTCAATACGATGTAGCATTTTGCGAGGTGAATACGGGGTAAAACACATGGATTCCGAATTATGGTACTCGAAATGGTAGTACCTTAATTACTTTCTCTCGAGTTCCTTTTAAAAAACCAATCCTTTTCCTTCAGCTTCGATCTTTTTTTATGCGATTTAGTTATTCTGTTTCTAAGTGTAATTATATGTGTGAGAGATGGAAGAATAGTGGGAAATTATGTGCTTTCCCTGTAATTTTTCCCATCTACCAGAAGTTTTTTTTATAGAAAAATTTTTATCATATTTTTGAACGTAGTAAAATTATGTTCTTTTAAATCTCGTGATTTTCGCCAACTAAAACTTCAAAAATGCAATGGAATCGGTGGATGGAATACGAATACGAATCCAAAAGAAGCATTAATTTATGATTTGATGTCAGAGATTATTCTTTTTATCAATGAATTTTTAATTTTTATGATTTTTATTGAAGTCTTTTTTTTACATAAAATTTAATTGTCACGAATCATATTATCACAAAAGCAAATTGAAAAAAATAATCTTTTTTTTCCATATTTATCAAAAGTGGCAATTACTGTAGAATAAATTTGAAAAAACTGGAAAATGGCTTAAGGAAGAATTTATAAATCAACCATAAAAATTTAGTTTATTCAGAAATGGTTTAAATAATATTTCTTTTAGAAATTTATAATTTTAGCTAAAAACCCATTTCAAGGGAATTTCAATGAAAAATAATATGTTTTGAGCAAAAAAAAAAGATTTTTTTAGGAATTATTTAAAAGCAATTTCATATGCGAAATTATTTAAGTGAATGTTATCTGCGCGGTACTGAGGACTCTTTTCATGCTTCCAAGACTGCTAATAGCCAATGAAACCAGAATAAGTACGAAAAATGGGAATGGAAAGGAAAGCTGCTCCTTTTTCCTTTTTCTTTTAATAACATAGCTCAGAGGAGAAAATAGAAATAAGCCCTCTGCACTAACCGCATTTCATTAGCACTTTTCAAGGAGGCTGAGTTCTTTCAAGAAAAAGATTGCAAATTACGGCCTAAGGCCTAGACGCAATGTTCTCAACCAGATGACCTTGGCTTAATTTGACTTTTTTTTTCTAAACTTTTGTCATTAAGTCACCGAGTGGTACTGCGAGATGGAAGGATATATGCTGATTAGAATTAATACCATGCAAATAATAATCAATAATAATAATTAATAATAATAATTAATAAAAATAATAATATGCCAGACAATTCGGTAAATTATAAATATATTTTTATTTTTTTTAATTTCCATATAATTATGAATTTTATTCCAGTGATATTTTTATGCAAATTTCATCAGATGCGGACGTTAATTTAGTGCAACATCCGCCAGTGCTCAAATGTAAATGCTCGAATATAATATGTTTAAAAATTAAACAATTTTAGTATGTTTAGTGAGCTAGGAATTTCTAAAAAAAATATTAAATTTTTCTTTTCAATATCCATCGTAAAAAAGGAAGTCCGCTCACTATATAGCTGTGATTAGCTCGATTTCATAATATGGCTGCAAGATTTGGCCAATGGTCACGGACGAGATATTAAGAAGTTATTTGCCTTTGACCACTCATATATCTTAAATCTCACGGGTTCGCCGAGGGTATAAAATCGCACGTGGTTGTATCCATCTTCACTTGCTTTGACCATAACAGTACCAATAAGGGCGCCATCATTGCTGGTTAGCGCATTTTCTTCGTCGCCCACCAAGCGAATTGACACATTTCGTTTCTTACGCTGTAGTGGATGGTATCAAGAAGCGAATAAGGCCAATCAAGCGTGGGCTCAGCGATGACATTGGATCGAACAACCTGGAAACGGCTCTTCTTTGCAGCCAACGAAGCTAACCAGTAATAATGAAGACTGCTAGAAGTATTTAGATTGCCAAAACATTTTTTAATTTGACTGCAAATTCACTGACCAAATTAAACGATCAAAAGAAGGATTACTGAGAAATTATATCTAAAAAATGGAATGGACTGGTTGAGAACTGGGTAAGGCGCATTCGCCACAGGCGAGTGTTGCGTATATAATATTTGGATGAAATGCGAG